TCTTAATTAGTTAATAGTAAAATATTTAGAATTTATAAGAAACTTAATTTCGACTTCGCGAAATTAGCGTAGATACTCTCTTTTACTAATACTCTTATAAATTTTTTTTTTTTTAAATAAAGTATTTTCGTCTTAATTAATATATTCGCTAAAGATATAATAATAATTAATATAAGTAGATTTTTATTAGTTATAAATAATAAGCTAGCGTTATAAAGCTCGCGATTATAGATCGATCTTTAATATAGTTAATTCTTATTCTTATTTTAGATAATAATTTTCGACTTTAATAATTATAAGACGTTATTCTATAATAAGATCTTTTATTAATAAAAAATTCTCGAACTTATTATCGACGCTATAGCGACTCTCGATATTATTTTCGTTTTTTACTATATAATTTAAAGATAAATATAATATCGTAATAATAATAAGTCTTTTTCTTTAAAAGATAAAGAGATTAGAATTATAAAGACGTAGTTTATTAATAATTAGTTAATAAATATAGATTATAAAAGACGTAATATCGTTATAGGATTTAATAATATATTTAATAGTAGAATTAATCTCTAAGAAATATTAGAATTTCGGGGTATATAAAGTAGATCTATATCCGCCAAGCCCCTAAGTATACGGGGTACGTTATTGAAATTGGACCCTAAAAGGGACCCTGACGTAACACATGCGATGTCGGCGCCTTGGCGCAAGCAGCGCCAAGGCCTATGACAGCATCAGGCCTGACACTTTGAAATACGTCGTTGTGGCTTCCTTCCGGTGACCACTGATTCGGCTGTAGGCTTGTTAGGGTGCTCCTTATGGAACTTACCTAACAACTTCCGTAGATGGGAGACTCCCTCGTAAGGTTCCCATGTATCCTCTGAGTCAGGATATCCTTCCCAGTGAACTTGATAGTATAGGCCTCCTGCCTTGCCATCCTCGCCTGGTTCAAAAACTGCACTATCCACAACGCCAGCGACCACGTAGTCATGTGCATCGCCCTCGTCGAATTCCATGTTCTCTAGGCATTGGCTTACCTCCCCCTGTTTTGAAGAGTCCTTTTCCAGCAAGGACACATGAAAGACGTTGTGAATTCGCCAGCCGCTCGGCAACTCCAGTCGATAGGACTGCGATCCGATAACGTCTGTGATTAGGAATGGACCGAAGTGTTTGAACTCCAGCTTCCTGTTCCGCTTGGTTCTAATGTACTTAGTATTTAACCAGACGCGGTCGCCCACCTTGTAGTCTCGAGACTTTCGGTGTCTGTTGGCGTATTCTTCCTGTGACTGCTGTGCAGCCAGGATAGTATCCTTACACACACCTATAAGTGTGAACAGATGGTTGGCGTTGTCAACTGCAGCGCGAGAGCGAGACTTCGGATCGATATCCTCGTCCCAAGATATCCTTGGTTCATAGCCAAGATTAGCCTCGAATGGCGACAGGCCAATGATGGATTTCTTTGCATTGTTGTAAGCAAATTCCGCCGTGGCTAAACACTTCACCCAGTCATCCTGCTCCCAGCAGATGAATGCTCGCAAGTAATGTTCCATGGTACTGTTCTGTCGCTCAGTCTGGCCATCGGTCTGAGGGTGAAATGCAGTCGACAAGCGCCGCTTCACCCCCAGAAAGTATGCAAGGCTAGACCAGAACTGAGAGGTGAATAGCGACCCACGGTCCGTTACTATCGAGTCCGGTAATCCATGATAGTGAATCAGGTTCTATGTAATGTGACATCTTCGTAAGACGGTCCACAATTACGAGGATTGAGTCGTACGTATGCCCACGCCAATCCTCGGATAAGGGCAGCCCAGTCACGAAGTCCAATGAGATGTCCTTCCACTTGTGAGTAGGGACCGGCAAGGGTGTTAGCTTGCCGTACGGTTTGTGCCTGGACGACTTGATCATCGCACACACAGAGCAACAAGCAATATGCTCATTGACATATTTGGCAAGCTTCGGCCAGAGATACTTGCGCTGGATAAGTGCTTGAGTCTTTTCAGCACCGAAATGGCCAGCTAACGGACTATCATGGTAGCGTTCCATGATACATCTCGAAGCGCCTCAGGGACATAGATTCGCCCGTCGTAATACAGTCTGCCTCCAGCAAGAGTGTATGGTTGGCCACTTAGGCCGCTAAGAGAGTTAATTGTGGATGACTTCAATTGCTCCACGACGCTCTTCGCATGATCGTCTTCCAAAGTTAACTCTTCGAGTTGATCATCGAAAGACTGGTCCTTGACGGAATCTCCCGCAGGGTCTTCGGTAGCAACAGTGGCTCGAATGCGAGCCCACTGTTCACATACACCAGGCACTCCATTGGTGCCGGTAACAAGCATTTGAAAGCAGCCTGCTATGAAGGCAGACCGCCCCACAGCACGGAACCCACGTAGAGTGTGCTTCAGCTCATCAAGCAGATGATATTTCTCACTCTTGGTGATATCATCATCCTGCTCGTAGTCAGGGATCCGACTTAGTGGATTCGCGGGATTGTGTTTCCCCTGACGATATTCGATGGCAAAGTCATAACGACTAAGCTCTTGTGCCCATCGAATTTGACGACTGTTCAGACGCGTAGTGCTCATGAAATTCTTGAGGTTGTGATGATCTGTCAACACCTCAATCTTCTGACGGCTACTCTCGCAGTAGTGACGCCAATGCTTGAATGACTCGACGATAGCCAAAAGCTCTTTATCGTGCGTGTCGTACCGGGTCTCGGCCGGGATCTGTTTGCGCGAGTAGTATGCCACTGGGTGCCATACTCCGCTGTGTAACTGACTCAGGATTCCGCCAATGGCATAGCCCGATGCATCAGTCTCTACACGTATTGGTAGTTCCGGAGCGAAGTGCTTAAGTACCGGTGCGGTAGTGAAAGCTGTCTTCAATTCCTCAAAAGCATTCTTCGCCTCGGGTGTAAGAACAAACGAACTCTTGGAGTCATTCTCGTTCGTCTTGGTGCCTCTAGATGCAATAGCTACATCTCTCTGCACTGTGCCTCTAGATGGTACAACCCCATCTCTCTGCACGTTGGAGACTACTCGGGCGTGCGAGTCTGTGCCTGTTCGGGTGCCTCCAGGTGGTACAACTACACCTCTCTGCACTGTGCCTCTGAATGCTATGCTAGCATTCCTCTGCACGTTGTAGACTACTCGGGCGTGCGAGTCTGTGTCTGTTCGTGACGGTGACATCTTAGTCAACTCCGTCAGGGGAGCAGCGATTCTGCTAAACCTCTTGATGAACCTGCGATAGAAATTCGCAAAGCCCACGAAGACCTGAATCTCGCGTACGGATTTCAGTTCTGGCCAGTTTTTGACTGACTGGATTCAGTCTTCCTCCATGCTCACTCCCGTAGGGGCGATGACATAGCCTAGGAAGTGTACTTTGTCTGTGCCGAACCTGCACTTTTGGAGATTGATCAACAGGCCATGCTCTCTCAATTTGTCCAGAACCCACTTTACAGCCTCGACGTGCTTGGCACCAGTGTCTTGCGTGTAAATGAGAATGTCATCAAGGTAAACAATGCAAAAGACATCTAGCTTCTCAGCCAATGCTTGATTGATGTACGCTTGAAACGTTGCAGGGGCATTTGTGAGCCCAAATGGCAAGACTTGATATTCGAAGTGGCCGTCGCGTGTCCGAAACGCAGTCTTCCATTCGTCCCCCGCCTTGATACGAAGACGGTGGTACGCTGCAGTGAGATCCAATTGAGTATATCTCTTGGCCATGGCCAGACGATCAATTGATTCCCCGACGAGAGGGAGATGGTACCGATTCTTGATCGTGATCAGGTTCAGTCCTCGATAGTCCACACAGAGGCGTAAGCCCCCACCGGTTTTTCGAAGAGGATTGGTGACCCCGCCGGTGAAGTGGATGGCCGTATGAAGCCATTGGCAAGGTTACTCTCGATGTACCCTCGTAGGGTCTCGAGCTCTACCTCGTTCAGGTTGTAGATTGGACCGTGGGGCGGCTGTCGCTCATCCATGAGGTCGATGGCGTGGTCTGCAGGTCCATGCTCTGGTAGCTCGGCAGCACCTCTGTCCGAAAAGACATCAGAGTACTCGCTGTACTCCGACGGTAGCTTCACAGCCTCAGTGACAACATTACTGCCTGAGCGATGTGTTGCTGACGATCCCTATGAACAGGAGGCTCATTAGTGGTGGTCACTTGACGCGCATGTATTACAAAACAGTGTGCTTCTTTGTCAAGGGCCAGCTTAGCAAACCCCTTTGGATCGATGACATCCGCTCGGCAAGTGGTCGTAAGAGCCACTGCTGCAGTGTATGTCCTCCACTGGAACGATCTCTTAGACCAATCGATATTGGCGTTCGCCATGGTCAGCCATGGCATGCCAAGAATCATTCGAGTGTTGATGTCTGCAGCGAGGAAGGTGTCCTGAAAGTAGCGAACTCGACCTTGTTGGTCCTCCTGCTGAAATTCGATATAATGCATCCCGTAGGTCTTAACTGCCTCGCCATGGATAGCACTAAGTCCGATGTCCGTATTGAGAATCGGCAAGCCCAAATTTTGAGCGGTTACACGATTGATGTTGTTCACTTCAGCACCACTGTCAGCCAGCGCACTAAAGGACTTGGTCTTACCCCTGGCGTTCAGCACTAGGGTATTCCTGATGAAGATACTATCCATTTTGGACAGTTCTTTGATCCGCTGAGTCACAGCATGAACCTTGGCCGCCCACACCCTTACATCGACAATGGGCTCTGCTTTGACAGCTGGCGGTGGGTTCGATTCGACATCCGACTCAGAGTTCGATTCGAGAATTCGAGTCAGACTAGCCTCATTCGACGAGATATCCATTGGCTCGGATTCGTCAACGAATTGGGTAGTGATAGTTGCCCCTCGTAGTGGCACAGCGGTCGGAGCCATTGCTGTGCCTACTTGTTTTTTGCCGCTTCGAGCAATGCTTGTGAGTCATGCAATGTTTGATCCTTAGCTGTGCAGTCACGAGTCTTGTGTCCCGGCAAACCACATTTGAAACACACCTGATCTTACCAGCGGCGGTCTCGAACGTCGTCAGACAGTTTGTCTTTCCACATAACGAAGGGAGCTTTAGTGCTTGAGTCCTTCTTATCATCACGATTCTTCTTTTGATCGTGATTTGCTGCTCGACCGGACTTGTTATCCTTCTTCAAGTGTTGGGGTTTTGTAGACCCCTCAGAACGAGACTTATCTTTATTCCCATCCTTCTGTGCGTGAGTTCTTGCCGTCTTCTCATAACGGTGAACTTGGTGCAATAATTCATGCATGGTCTTTGGCCCAGGAATCAGCTCGTCTAGCTTTGTCTGTATTCCTGAAGCCGTCGTGCTCGGAAGTAGTCGAAGAACCGTTGATCGGTGAATGATCGTTCCTTGTCTAGGGCCCTAAGACGAATGTGCAGTTGTAAGTGTAGTCATAGTATTCATTGACGGAGTCACCCTTTCGCTGTCTAGCATTTGTCAATTTCTGACTGCCTTCCGCATATGCTTCTTCTTTGTCCCCTTCGAGGAACTCGCGTAGCAATGTCTTAAAATGCGTCCACGAATCAGCTCCTAATGGGAACTGCAGCAACCAAGACATCCAGTCAGTCTTAGCTCTTTCCACGAGAAAGCCTGTAGCGTATGCAACTTTCTTCTTCGTGTCTTCCTTCTGATGCACTCGATCCGCTGGCGTCTCGCCTTCGCGGTCTTCTTCAGTCGTGAAACCCTTAGCATCGAACTGTCGCTCGCATTCGTATAGAAAGTCGTCCAGTTCCTCCGGAGTCTCGCCCCTGTATGGTTTCGGGTCTTTTGTCTTAAGACTGGGAGTGAGTCTCTTTGCCGTCCCTTGTATCTCGAAGCTCAGCGACGCCTGTCGTCGACGGGCTCGATAGGCCTGGAATCCTGCGTATTCTTCGGCATTGTTCGTGTATCGACTGGTTCGACGACATCAGATCCAGCGGTCTCCCCGAGAGTGCTGTCACTGGGGTTCGAGGTAAGTTGTCGTCTTGCTCCCGCTGAGGAAGCCATTACGACTTTGTAGCTGATGATTCGATTGATTGGCTCGACGCCGGCGTCAATTGGTAGGTAGGTAGTGACAAGGAGAGTCACAGAGTGATAGTTTGTTGTCAGACGGGCACGTCCCCCTTACTATCGTGTCGATGATAGCGAGAGTTGAAGGATTCAGAAATGTAACGGGGTCTAGGCATGCGTGACTGAGCAACTCGTATATTAGTTACTAGATAGACTGAATCCTGAGGAACCCAAGTGGGAATCCTCAGAGGCAGCATATTTAGCAGGGGAGAGTGCACCCCCATGCCAAGAAAACTTACTATGCGACTGCTATAGCCGCACAGCTGCACCAGAGGGATAGTCTCCCGAATCTGGCCTAGATGTATGTTGGATCCCTGGACTTCTGACAGGCCGCCTCATGCCCAGAGACCTCATGGCCCTTACACTAACTTCAGAACGGAAGAACTGTCGTACTAAATGCAACGAAAGTCATTCGACCGCCCCAACTTCCCATGACAAGCGTATTGTCTCTGAATGCATACGCGCTCGGACGATGATTGAATGGAAGCCAAAGAATGTTATGACCTCTCCAGGACACCCACTCATGATTGATGCTTAATGCATACGAACCATCTGTTGAAGTTCGCTCCTGAGGAAAGTCAGTCAAAGATGTAGACGAGATTTCGAAGACTCTACTATCTAATACCAGTCGCGACCCATCCTCATTAAAGATCATTCTTCCGGTGTACTGATGTGGGATCTGATGAAGCAAGATCTTCTTCTCAACGTCCCAAAGTCTGACGATGTCATCAAGAGATGCAGAGGCCAGAATTTTTCTGTCAGGCGAAAAGACTATTCTGACAATACTTTCCAAATGACCCTCAAGCGTACCGTGTAGGGCTCCCGTGATTGGATCCCAAAATTTGAGTGTGTTATCATAAGGTGGGCCATGAGGATCTCCAAGAGAGTCTAACCCAGATGCAGAAGCTAACAATTCACCATTAGGCGAAAAGGTTACCACTCTGACCTCTCCCTCATGACCTTCAAGTATGCGTCGCGACTCTCTTGTGAATGGATTCCAAAGCCTGACGTTGAAATGTTGGAAGAAACCTCCAGTATCTCCGGACGCCAATAATTGACCATCAGGCGAGAAAGCTATCGTATTGACCGGATTGCTGTGGCCTTCAAGCTTGCCTCGCGACTCTCCTGTGAGTGGATCCCAAAGCCTGATGGTGTAATCTTCATTATTAGGTGAAAAAACACCAGATCCGGATGCCAACAGCCGACCATTAGGCGAGAAAGCTATCGTGGTGACCGGATTGCTGTGGCCTTCAAGTTTGCTTCGCGACTCTCCTGTTGAATCCCAAAGCCTGATAGTATTATCATCAGAGGCAGAGGCTACTAGTTGACCATCAGGCGAAAACACTACCGCGTTAACCTTATCCGAATGATTCACATCAGATGTGATTCGCGAGTCTTCTATGATCGGATCATCAGATGTGATTCGCGAGTCTCCTATGATCCGATCCCAAAGTCTAACAGTATTATCACGAGATGCAGAGGCCAAGAGCCCATCAACCGAGAAAACTGCTGCCTCGACCCGGCTTAAGTGACCTTCCAACGATCCCCGTAACTTTTTGACCGGATCCCAAAGTTTTATGGTTTTGTCATCAGATGCGGAGGCTAGCAGGTGCCCTTTAGGCGAAAAGACTACCATGTTAACCGGGCTCGAATGACCGTCAAACACACCCCGTGATTCTTTCTTGTCTGAATCCCAAAGTCTGACGGTACTATCATTCGATGCCGAGGCCAGCAGCGGCCCGTTAGGCGAGAAAACTACCCTGTTAACCCCGCTTGAATGGCCTTCGAACGTATACAGTAGTTTCTCTTCAATCGGATTCCAAAGTTTTATGGTTTTGTCTTCAGATGCGGAGGCTAGCAGGTGCCCGTTAGGTGAAAAGACTACTGCGTTGACCTGCTCCTCATGACTTCCAAGTATGCATCGCGAATCTACTGTGATTGGATTCCAAAGCCTGATAGTTTTGTCACAAGACGCAGAGGCCAATAGTTGCCCATCAGGCGAAAAACTTATTGCAGTAATAAGTTTGGAATGACCTTCCAATGTGCCTCGCAACTCTTTTGTGATTGGTTCCCAAAGTTTGATAGCAAACCAAGAGTCGGATGCCAATAGCTGACCAATAGGCGAAAACGACATCGTACTCGACCAGTGTTCAGTCTCAAGACTGCCACAGGACTGTCCTGTGATTGGATTCCAAATTTCAATACGTTCGGAAGACTTACTGGCTATCAACTGACCGTCAGGCGAGAACGCTACGGTGGAAACGGGCTCTGAAAGATGCCTGACCAACGCGAAGATCGACCTTCTTGCCTTGAGTGTGCGCTGCAAGACTCCTGTGATAGGATTCCAAAGTATGACGGTTCCATCATTAGATGCAGAGGCCAACAACTTTCCGTCAGCCGAGAAGCTCACCGCATTGATCCTATCCGAATGACCTTCAAGCGTTTGTAAACAAGTCGTCCAGTTCTTCTCAGCCTTCGATGCAGTATCAATCCACTTTGGCATCTGATTGGAAAAAAGACGCCTGACTATACTTGTTTCTGGGCTGAAAATAGAAGCAGAGTTATAGAGTTGCAGCGGTGCGATTTCCATAACGGATCTGAATTCTAGAATGAATCTCCATGCATCTTGCGCAAAGGAAAACAACTCGGTGCTCATTCGGGACTAGAAATGGGCGAAATTAGTATATAGAATTCGAAGAGCGATTTCAGTAGCGTTCACCTCAGGTATGGAGCATAGTGATGTCATCGCAATTACAGCTTCAGACACCTTGCTCATGAGACTAAGCGTTTCAAGCCAATGGAGAAAGTGGCATTCGAAGAACGTGTAGACCTGGCAACCTTCGCGCAGAAAAAGTGTCTCCTGCTTAGTAGGGCTAACTTGCTGGAGGTGGTCAACCCAGTAAAGACATGCATATTGCGCGTGGAATGGAATATGAGCTCCTATTCTGCTCTCATTAACGTCGCTGAGACAAACTCCTGGCATTTTGAGATCGCATATATCCTTCTTCAATGTGTTCGACATAACCTCTAAGCAGAGACGGGCTGTCTTGGCATGTTCATTTTCCTGTCCCGAATGGAAAACACCTTTTCTTTTTCCGTCGCTCAAGTAGTCTTTTGCCGATTGATGTACCAAATATGCTGTCCCTTCCCGGACTGTGATGAAAGAACCGCAGCCACTCACTAGATCCTCTAATTCTGACTCCGGGATGCTAGCAAAGACGACGATTTCTCCCAAACGTAACGGCCTAAAAGCAAAAGTGATTGAGCAAAGGATCCGTCGACAGAGTTTGATATCATGTTTGTCTTTCTGATGAAGGATCTGATTAAGCATCCTTTCGTAGAGTGTTTCCAGTCCTGATGGGGTCTTTTCAAGCCAGGACTTCGCTCTTTGCGGCCGTACCTTGCTCAGCTCCTTACAAACCAAAGCCACCCAAAGGAAAGTTCCTTCTGCCTTTTCAAGCAGCGACTTCCGAAGAAAGACCTGCAGCTCGCTGGTGTACGACTTCCAACCTGCCAATTCATCGATTTTGTAGTCAATGAAATTCGCGACAGCACGAGCGACATGCAATGAATTTAGCTCAAGACTGGTGTGCAGTCGGTGGTCACGCCCAAGCCGCTCTATGAAAGCTGGCTCGTTGCGGCTCGTGGTGAGCCATTTGATTTTGGGCGATACTTCGGACTTCAAAAGTTCAAGTATCTCAGGATCACACTCGTCGAGAGCATCTACCATGAAGTAGACATTTCCGAGGCTCGGGTCCTTTAAAATATCCGAGAACACCATCCGCAAGGCATTCAGTGCATTTCCATCTTCAAACAGTGGTCTTCCTGCGATGTCATAACTTTTCCGTACGTGACGGATGAGCTTCCTTTCCTGATCGACAAGGTGATAGATCAACCCCCTGAGGACTGAAACCGTAGTGTTGAGATCCTTACTGGTGTTCTGGCAAAAGAAATACGCCAGCACATTGGATCCAGGCCGATCGTCCAGCCTTTTTGACACCTCGGAAATGAGTGCTATCATCATCATGGTTTTTCCCTTGCCTGGATCACCATGTATCCAAAGCAACCGGGAGTCATCACGATTCCACCAATCATCAAAAGCTGAGTCTGTAAAAATCCAGGAACAGGAACCTTCTAGCAGACGGTCTTTGCTGTGCTCGATTCTCTCCTTGTCGAGTCGAGGATCTGTAGATCGTAAATCGCGTAGGCACTGTTTATCGTTTTCATCAAGCCCCACGTCAGCTACTACAGTCCGTATTGTTTTTTGCAAGTCTGGATTGACACCCTGTGGAGAGGAGAGCTTCGCGACGGGGAAGAATTGCTTGTCATACATCTGGAGGCCTATCTCTCCTAGATTTGCAACTCCTTTGAGCAAATTCAGATATGAGAGCAGATCCTCGTCGGGCTCTCCGTGTAATTTCTTGTATTCAATATCATGTTCCAATGTCATAAACCCCCACATGAAAGCGGACATCACTTGGATTTCAATGATCGGGTTCCATGATTGCTGATCTGAGAGACCTTGCAGTGTCACATGGAAATGGAGTCCATCATAACCGCGGAACCGTGCCCTGAAGCTTACTGCATTCCGCCCATGCTTTGGATGTTGAATTTGACCTCTGACGTTGAAGATCTGGCTCAGAGTCTTTTCAACGTGCTTGAAATCGAGCCAGCAGGCCAAGATGATCCTTCCAGCTACCAAATCCTTGATATCAGCGATATTCTCGGATTCATCCCTGTACTCATCGATGCGACCTGTTAGTTTCTTCTCCAGCGATTCGGCTGCCTTCACCCGAGATTGCCACAAAAATTCTATGCCGCATAGTGCTTCTTCACAACGTGCGCTCACTTCTTTTTCTAAAGTCTTATATTTCTCGGCGTCACGACTAAAGGCCGCGACGAAGTCGGAAATCGCTCCCATTAGGCTTGTTGGCAGCGGCGAGCACAGTGATACGTATAGATCATTTCCAACAGCAATGTCAGCAATGGATAAGCATGGAAGCTGACCGAACAAGAGATAAATTTTAAGATCGCAAGGAGGAAAAGCGAAGCCTCGAGATACGCCCCAACTATTCAGGCTTACAAGATGATGCTTGGGCACCAAAGTGCATGAAGGTAAGAATTGAGTGGCTCTATGATTGGAAATTAACGGGGCATCGAAAAGTGAAGCGAAATTGACGGGGCAAGGCGGGGCAAGGCGGGGCAAGGCGGGGCAAGGCGGGGCAGTGCAGGGCTGTGAAAGATACAGGAGGCTTTTGACTGCAGAAATCACATAAAAGAATCAAATTCCAGAGTATCTCACATCATTCTCAACCTCAATCTAAATTTCATCAGGACTTCGAGCACGTTCGCAGAAGTAAGCTTCAGGCATGAGTAAAACTAGCAACCAGGACCAAACCAGGTCATACAAATCCTTTGTCGCAGCACGGACACAACGGAATCCATGTCTTCAAGATTTGTGTCGATTCCTCCAAAGTGACACCGTTAGCCAATACGCTTGTCGCATTATCTGTCTAGGATTCTCCTCTGCACCTGGTTCGCCAAGTCGTCAGAGCCTTGACCTTGACGATCTTACGTCACTGTTACGTAACACAGCCAAAGAAAGAGACGATCTCTGTGGCCGGCTTCTGATCGTTGAGGATCTGTCCAGCGATGTCATCGAGACGCTTGGCTCCTTGCTAGATATCGACCCTTTGTTCTTCGCATCCCACATTGATACCTTTCAAATCGATATAGCGACAACAAGACCCTCAACGACCACTTTACCGTCTACAACGAGGTCTCAAAACTTTCTGAATCTTCACTACCACCGCGTGATTGAATTTGAGAACGTGGAATCCAAGCAAGTGTTGCTTCGAGATATGAACGTACCACGAAAAGTGAAGATACTACCACAACTCAAGGGAATTAATGTCGGACTCGCACGGCATTGCTGTTCAACCTTGAAGACCGAGGGAAAAGATGGGCTCTGGCTAGGTAAGAGAGGTCTCATCTGTCACAGAGGTATTTTAACACGAAGACTTATATTTGAATAGGACTAGTTCTTGTCGACCCTCCTATAAGCAATTCTTACATATTAAGACATCGGGACAATGAGAAAGCAAGTACGAGTACCCTCACACTTCAGACACGGCTGTTTCAAGGCGGATTCCAGGATTTCCTCTCAGATCCCTCGTTCTCTGACAACATTGATTCTGAATCTGGCCAAAGACGGTCTTCCCCACTAGAATCTATCATCTTCTATTGGGGCATTGAACAGCCTCAGGGATTCGATGTGAACTGTCCAACCTTATTTTCCTTATCAATTTATCCTTTAAGAATGATCGCTGCGGAGTGGATGACGTATTTGGAGTTGATGTATCATAGCATCAAGCAATATGAGTACTCCCCCAGCACTGCCCTAGCTGCACTCGGACAGATCACAACACTCAATGCCGACGTATACACTCTTCAGCAATGGGCCCGTCGCAGCATGGCAACAGCTGATAAAATTCGGTATACCATCGAATTTCTCAGATACCGCATGGCTAAGGACGACGACATGGAATACAGCGCCCTATTAACAGAAGACTACAAGCAGATTGCTTTGAGCATTGACACCTACAGTCGCCGGCTGGAAGCTCTTGTGTCCATCAGTACTTCACTGATTCAGACAATTGATTGCAGACGGTCGCTCACAGAGACCAGAAATATCTCACGCTTAACTTATCTAGCCCTGAGTTTTATACCTTTGACATTTGTGTCAGGTCTCTTCAGTATGAATGATACTATTGCGCTAGGCGGGAGAATCTTTGGGCTTTACTTTGCAGTGTCTATCCCTCTGTGTATAACAGTCTTTCTGATCGCTCATCCACCCACTAGCACTCCTGGTGTTTTCGTGACACGAATTTGGAGATCAAGAGCGGTACAGAAGTTTGTAGTTTGAACAGGGACAGTATTTCTATGGAAAAGTGATGATGTGAGAAGAAATTTGTATTGCTATAGCGACGTATGCTCAGTTAGCGGTTAGTGAGCTAGCCTACATCATTCAGGATTGAGATGCTTGACAAGGTTTCTTGCGCACAGCATATGCCACCAATCCACCAATAGAGAAATATTCATCGCCTCGACAGCTGTAGTCAACAAGAGCAAGTTGACAAGGTCAGCTTATCTTCTGAAAGGACAAGAGGGCTGCAAGTGAGAAGGTCCAGAGGGACAGCGTTGAATCGCATCGTAAACGGCTTGACAGTGAGCGGGTTATTTTGTCAAATAGAAGCGTATCAGATGTCCTTTAAAACTCAAACTGGGCTCGTGACTGCTATATAGATGGGTCAGTACCGACGTTCGGCGCAGATGAGTTATCAAGTGACAAAGAAAGTCGGCTATTACGATGTTCCATTTGAGGCAAATCCTTTTTATTCATATTTTTTTTTTTTTTTTTTTTTTACGTACTATTAAAATTTAAATCTAAATATAACTATTATAACTATTATAGCTATTACTATTATTTATTTTAATAATTTACTATTATAGTCTATTTTAATAACTAATTCTATAGTATTATAATAGTCGTCTATAGATTTAATATAGTAGATATTTTTACTAAGAGCTTATATATAATCTACTTTTATTTTAACGAGATATATATTTAAATAATATACGATATTTTATTTAAACTATTAATATATATAAAAGAATAAGATAGAGTTAAGTTATAAAATTTTAAATTTATATATATAATTAATTATAAATTTATTAGATCTAAGCTCTTTAATTATATCGATTAAATTATTACGAATAAATATATTAGCGTTCGTAATTATTAAAATATCTCTTATTCTACTTTTAACCTCTTAATAACTTTACTATTTTCTATTAAAATTTTAGATTATTATTTTCAAATTATAATTCGTAACTTACGCTTTTTAATACTTTAAAAATAGTTAAATTTAGTCTTATAATTATTAAAAGATAAGATACTGTTACGGAAAACGTGCTTTATCGCTAACCGCAGCGCCAAAAGAGCGTGGACCCCTATCTGAACGGTAAGAATCTTCTAAAGTATACTAAATCCGTAATAATTACACACTTTGAAAAATGGCGTATATCCTCATACGCTGACCTACACGTATATCGTATTTAGAAACTCCTCGGGTGTGACCCCGTAAGCTACTTGCAGCCTGGTACGTATAGCTTTAGAAAGGCATAAAAGTTATAAGTCTCCATCAAATCCGAGTGTAGTTAAGTAACCTATTTAGACTATCCGAGTCACATTCAGAATCGAACTGGTATTGCTATTATTATTACGGAAAACGTGCTTTATCGCTAATCGTAGCGTTAAAAGAGCGTAAACCTCTATCTAAATAGTAAGAATTCTCTAAAATATACTAAATCTATAACAGATACTTAAATATCGCTTATTAAAAATCGCTTATTAAAGATCGCTTATTAAATTTACTCGATAGTCTTAATTAAAAAAAATTATAATTTTAATTTATAGATCTTTACTCGTATAATATAATAGAATATCTATTAGAAATATTAGAAATATTATAACTAGTAACTAATTATAAGCTATATTATATTTTATTATAAGTAAATTTAAATTTATTAAAACTCTCTTAAAAAAAAAAAAAAAAAATAACTTAATATTTAATTTCTTATAACTATAAGAGTTTATATTATAAGTATATAATTTATTTTAATTTATAGCTAATCTATATATATATACTTAGAATTTACTAGATCTCTATTAATTTACTCTTAAATAAATCTTTAAACTTCTTTTTTATACTTTAAAATATTAAATTTATTAATAAAATAAATAAGTAAGTAAGTAAGTAATTAAATAAGTAAATAAGTAAGTAAGTAAATAGATAAGCGAGTAGATAAGCGAGTAGATAAGTAAGTAAATAAAAAAATAAGTAAGTAGAGAATCTCGACTAGTCGACGAGATATAGCGATAACGATATATATTATATATTTTTAAGAATTATATTTAACGATAGTTAGAATATATAGCTTATTTTTATATAAATAGTAAATAGCTAGATAAGTTAATAAGACTATATTAATATAAACTTAAATAATAAAAATCTCGAATATAGTAGTAAGATTTAGCGATAATAAGATATATTAAATATTATTATTAAGAACTATTAACGATAGTTATAATAAATAATTTATTTTAATAAAGATATTAGATAATTAGCTATAATTATAAAATTATATTATTATTAGTTTAAATAACGTATATAATAAAAATAAGATTAATAGAAAAAGATTAATTAAACGCTAATTAAGAATTTACGCTACTCTATAAAATAAAAGTAATTTTAAAATATATTATAAAGATAGCGAGCTTAAACTCTATATTTTAATATCGTAATTTAAAAAAAGATATTACTATCGATAGCTATAAATTATAATATTATAAATATTAGAAATCTTTAATTTTTAATAAAAGAAAGCTTAAGTAAGATATTTTTATTTAATATATTAGTATATATAATAGAATAAGATAGAGCTAAGCTTAAAAATCTTAAATTTATATATATAGTTAATTATTAATTCGAGTTCTATACGCTTTTTAATTAGATCGATTAAGTTAATTCGATAATTCTCTTACGTTTTTCTTATTAAAAATTTATATATAGAAGTTTTATACTTTAAAGTACTTAGCTTACGATATATATAGTTACTTTATAATTTCTTAAATTATAAAGCTCGCTTTACGCTTTCTAACGCTATAAAAATTATAAAGTTTAGTCTACTATTAATAAATTAAATAAATATTTAAATATAGTAGTTATAATAGTTATATTAGACGCGTCCGAGATCGAATAATAATTCTTTCATCTATTTATATAATTATTCTTCTTTTACTATTCTATTAATTCTATTAATTCTATTAATTCTATTAATTTCATTAATATAAATATA